ACAGTTATATTTTTACCCTACAATGCCTAGCTGATGACACTGACAATTTGTCTGTCAAAATCCTAGTTGCCAGTTGCAAACTTTGAAATCCAACAGCATGAATTTGGCTATAAACTCTAGGACAATAGAAGCACTTTATTTCTATAAGTAGCTAAAGTTCTTTCATTCCATTTGCTCCTTATGCACCTAAGTAAAAGCAAATGCTGAACATGATATTTGCTTGGGTACTTGTTATTCAAATTTTATTCTTCTCTTTTTGTTTCTTCTTTCCTCCGATACACGGCAGCCTTCAAAGTACTGACACTAAACATGATAAGGGTTTGCATCTGATGTCTCGAATTTCATTGCCGCCTTCTCCGGCACCAGAGGCTGTTAGCCCAAGCTACAATCCGACCACTATTTTCAATGTAAGATCTTATGGTGCCATTGGGGATGGTGTTACTGATGACACACAAGCATTCAAGCTGGCTTGGGACACGGCTTGTCAAACTGAAGATTCAGAAGTTCTTGTTCCTAAAGGTCATTCCTTTATGATACAGTCTACAATATTCACAGGGCCATGTAAACCTGGCCTCAAAATGCAGGTAATCTAGGTCTCCTCTTAAAGGCTGGAACTTTATTTAAATTTGTTGGAAATTTAGGAGGTGTGTGATGAGTGTTTATGATACCATTGTTGGTTTATGTGTGAAGGGGTTTAGGACAATAGGACAATAGTTGAACAAAGTGATTTTATTACATTAGAGGAGAATAGTACATAGCTTGGTGTAGGCTAATTGGCCTCCTTCTTAGCTTATTGGCTTATTGGCCACCACACTTGATTTAGATTAGTTTGAGCTATTTTTCCCTAGCTTGAGCTCTTGTCTTCAACTTCTTACATAGGTTGGGTAGCTCACATGTAGCTCCCTTGTGGATTGGGAGTTGTAGTGGTTAACTCCACCACCTTTAGTTGATTAGCTAGATAGCTAGCTTTGTTGCTTAATTTCCTAACTTTTCTAGCTTAGGATTTTCGGTAGCTCTTGGCTCCCTTATAGTTTGGGAGTTCTTTTTGTTAGACTCCACCTTGCTTTATTGCATTGCATGCCTATTTATAGGCATTCTTTGCCGACATCACCAAGTCCACCGACTTGGCTTCTTTTTCTCCAGCCACAAGTGTGTGGCTTATACCAGAAACTTCTATATTGTACAATATTTATTTTTGTGGCTATTGTTTAGCCATCATGCTCCACTGCCATTAGTCTAGCAACATGAGTGTTTTTGAGTTTTCTAGAATTGTGTAGTTACATCTACACAAATATGCATTGCTTTTTCAACAAAATTCTTTGAGAGACAGAGATAAATTTGGCAACTTTTTTGTCTTACCAAAATCTAACGTGTTCTTTGGCTGGTTGATGGGGAAGATTGATGGGACATTAATGCCACCAGATGGACCTGATCCATGGCCAAGAAATAACAGCAAGAGACAATGGCTTGTTTTCTACAGAATCAATGAAATGTCAATGCAAGGTACTGGTGTAATAGATGGGAGAGGAGAGAAATGGTGGAACCTTCCTTGCAAGCCCCACAAAGTAAGCATCTTTGTTATTCTTTCACAGCACCATTGGTTTTATTTTATTACTCTTAGGCCAATTTCTCACAATGTTTTTTTTATATATTTGCAATGGAACAGGGTTTTACTGGAACAACACAGCCTGGTCCTTGTGATAGCCCAGTTGTAAGTCACAGTAAAAAAAATTCAGAACTTGTGAAGTAAGCATTGGTCAACTTTGGTGGAAATATTGTTTACATATGAACTTTATGTTGCAGGCCATAAGATTTTTCATGAGCTCTAATCTGAGTGTGATAGGACTCAAAGTTAAGAACAGCCCCCAGTTTCATTTCCGGTTCGATAACTGTCAAAACATCTACATAGAATCAGTTAACATAAAAGCACCTGCTCTAAGTCCCAATACAGATGGAATTCACATAGAGAACACAAACAATGTGAAACTATATAATTCAGTCATCTCCAATGGTAATTACAGAACAGAAGCTTCCAATTCGTTGTCCATCGTGCA